TATTTCGTTGATCTGCCTGTTCTGCTCCCCACTCTCTCTCTGGTGAAGCCTCTCACCTCCCCATAACTCTGGCCTGTACCCCAGTTCTCTATGAATAAATAAATAAATCTTTTTAAAAAACAACACAGAAAGGAAGAGGGAATGACTGAAAACTAGAAAACAAGGGCAATGAAAATAGCAACAGATTTAGATCTTACTATATGATCTATGTCAATAATCAGTTTAAATGTCAATGATCTAAAGAGACCGATTAATTAATCAGGAGGTTTATGAAAACAAGATTGGGCAAAATATTTACAAGACATGTTAAACAACTGACTACTATGCAAAATATAAAATGAGCTCTTAAAATTCAGTAAGAAAAAATGGGCAATGCCTGAACATAGACCTCACAAAAAATACAAATAGAAAATAAACATCTGAAATGCTGCCCTATATCATGCCATTGGAGAACTGCAAATTAATGCAATGAGATAACTGTAAACTTAGAACGACAAAAATCCAAAGTACTGACAACCAAGTACTGATGAAAATGTAGGAATTGGGAATGTAGTGGGAATGTAAAATGGTACTGTCACTACAGAAGACAGTTTGAAAAATTCTTACAAAACTAAATATATCTATATTTCAAGATGTAGAAATTGTGCATTTTTATGTTGATCCAATGAGTTAAAATTAGTATGCCCACATGAAATCTTGCACATTTTTTTTGCAGTTTTATTTCCAAAACTTGAAAGCAACGAAGAGGGCCTTTAATACGTGAATAAATAAGTAAATTGTGCCATAACAAGGCAATGTAACATTATCAGTGCTAAAAATTAGCTACTAAACAATGAAAGACAGAAAGGTAAGTTAAATGCATTTTATGAAAGAAACCAGTCTGGAATTATTACATACTCTATGATTTCAACTAATGACATTTGGAAAAGACAAAGCTATAGTGACAATAAAAAGTTAGTGATTGATAAGGATTAAGGTAAAAGGAGAGTTGGATTGGTGGAGCATGGGAAATTTTATTTTAAGGCCATAAATCTCCTTTGTATGATACTCTAGTGGTGGATATATGTAATTAAATAGTTGTCAAAACCCACAGAATGTACAAAACGAAGAATGAATGAACCTAACATAGAAACTATGGACTGTGGGTGATACTGAGTCAATTTAAGTTCAACAAATGTATCATTCTCATGCAGAATATTGATAGTAGGAGTAACAGTGGAGATAAGGAGTGGAAATGGGAATCTGTATTTTCTGCTAAATTTTTCTGAAAACCGAAAACTGCTAGAAATAATAAACTCCATTAATTAAACAAAGCCAAATTGTATTCTAATAGTTTTTTGCTTGATGCAGTAGTTGCAGAAATTTAACAAACCTCAAGTAAAGAATCCAGGCATTGATATCCAAAACCCAAGGCATCAGGAAACACTGAAGATGACTAGGACAAAATTCTACTCATTGAGATTAGGTCAACTTAGCTGTGGACTCTCTGCCATGTATTATTTATTAAGTCATGGCCCAACTGAGAGAATGGTGTCGGTGTGTTCAAACCAACTTACTTCTCCTTCTCTTTGCAAACAATCTTCTCATCATCTTCTTATTCCTACAAAGCAAGTTAGAGAAGACTATTAGAAAATTGCTAGAATAAGACAAATCATTCATCCCTCAAAAAATGGCTAATAAAATAAGAAATCTACTTCTGGTGCTCCTAAGCACACAGGATAACGGGTAAAAATGTTTTTTGTGTGTGTAATAAAGGGCCTGCCTAATGTGCAAAGGGTTAAGTTGCAGTGCTATGAAGCTATCCACAGCCACGGCAGCACAAGTTTAATCCCTGGCCAATGAGGTGAAATACATGGCACAGCAGACATTTCCTGTCTCATCTGCTGCTCCACTCAGCAATATATTTCAGTAGATCTGCCTATTCTGTTCCCCACTCTGTCAATGGTGAATGTTCCACTCCTCTGTACCTCTGGCCTATACCCCAGTTCTTAAATGCATAAATAAATAAATTAAGACTTTAAAACTATTAAGAATAGAAATATCATATGATCCAGTTATTCCACTTGTGGGTATTTACCCCCAAATATAAAAACAACAATTCAAAGTACATTTGTATATATTCCCCCTAAGACTTACTGTAGCATTATTTATAATAGTCAAGGGCTGGCAAAAACTCAAATGTATTGATAGGGAAATAAATTAAAAATATATGGTGTAAAAAAAAAATATATGGTGTATCTATCCAATGGAATACTACTCAGCTATTAAAAATGAAAAGATGAAATTTTGTTATTTACAACAAAATGGATGGACCTAGAGGATATTTTGTTAAGTGAACTAAGTCAGACAAATATTAAATAATTTCACTCAAGTAAGGATAAAGAAATAAAAAAAAAAGGCTCAATGAACTCTTAGAAATAGGAGGTGAATAATTAAGTCAATGGGGTCAATTATATGGTGAATGGAAACTAGACTTTTGATGGTGATTATAATATAGCATACGAGTATATAAATGACAAATTATAATACTGTACCCCTGAAAACCATCTGTAATGCCAAATTAAATTGCCTTGTACCTGAAAACATAGCCAATATTCAATAAAACTTTTAAAAACCATAGTATGTTTACCCTCTGCTTTAAGTTATTCCAAAAAAATATCTAGGAATCTATTATTCTTTGTACTGTTTAGAAGATCCTTAAAGATTACCTCTTAACACATTCAGGGCATAACATGTTGTCTTCTAGGTCTGGGGTTGAGAAAGTGCAGGCTGGCAACAGGAAGAGAGAGATCATCCTCCTGGAACTGTTAGGCACCCATGTGTGACCTGCATGGAATTGAAGGCGAACCCAACCATTTGTTTCTGCAGAAAGAGGTCTTCCATGGACAACACACCACCTAACACCTAAGGAGGAAAAGAAGTCAGTATAAACAGTAAATAAATAATAGATCAAACTAAATAAGTTACTCTTTTTTATTCTTATATTCTGTTGATAAATTAACCGAATGAGAACAAAAATATAAATCAACGACACTATAACTTTACAAATTATATAGCATGATGGATAATCAATTGGCATTAGAATGCCAGGATTTCCAGCTCTCCCTGGTGGCACAATGGGTTAAAGCACAGCACTATGAAACCACTGCAGCCACTGCAGCAGGAGTTCTATCCCTGGCCCAGGGAGGTGATCCACACTGTGTAATGGACCTCTCCTGGCCTGACTGCTGCTCTCCTCATCAGTATACTTCATCAATCTGCCTGTTATGCTCCCCACTCTGTCTCTGGTGAATCCTCTCACCCCCTGTATCTCTGGTCTGTACCCCAGTTCTGTATGCAAATAAATTTAAAAAATTAAAAACAACCAAAAAAAGCCAGGATTTCACTAGGCTGTTTACATGTATTAAATCACTTGTTCTAAAGAATATTATCATAATTTCACAGAATCAAGATATTCTAACTCATTGCCCATGTAGCTAACCACTACCTTGCCTATAAAAACAAAATAAAACAAGAAAACAAAACAGGCAACAGTGTTTTTAAGTGCTGCACTTTAACCCCTTGTGCCACCAGGGAGGGCTCCCAAATTGTATCATTAATCTCACAAGCATTCTATGAAATAAGATAGTTGTAATCTTCATTTGGTAAACCAGGGTTTCAGGGCTTAAGGTATGTAGCATAGTAATGACACAAAACCTAGAAGTATTAAAACAATGATTTGGACCAAGGCACCTCAGTCTAACTCTTACATTCTTGTTTACTATGTTATGAATGCCTCAAGGAAGGAGTGTGTAAAGGGGAAGAACTTGGGCTAACCCCACCCATATTACCAAAATATGCTTTCTTCTCTACTTGGAATTCAGCTTAGTGATGAGAAAGGTTCACCATTCAAATACCTACATTATTATAGTGACTCATCCAGGTAAAAGTGGCTATAAGAAGATAAACACCCCCGGCCCTCCCTGGTGGCGCAGCGGGTTAAAGCACAACACTAAGAAGCTAAAGCCACTTCCGCATGAGTTCGATTCCCGCCTGCCCCGGAGGTGACCGCATGGGCAGCCGACCTCTCCTGACCTGCCCACTGCTCCCCTCAGCAGTTTACTTCATTGATCTGTCTTTTCTGTTCCCCACTCTGTCTCTGGTGAAGCCTCTCGCAGCCCCTGAGCCTCTGGCCTGTACCCCAGCTCTGTATGCACAAAGAAATAAATCTTTAAAAAAAAAAAAAAGATAAACCCCTATATGAGCCTAATATCCAGTCTAAAATTTTTTAACTAACTCTCTTTCATTACCTTTCAGTTTGTACTAATAAAAGGCAACCTTCTTTCTCTGGAATGGTACTCACTCTTCAAGGTTGGCCTTACCAGAAGCTTGAGGCAGAAAGGTTTCAGCATAAGTAGGAATACGACTTGAATTCTCAATTTTAGGTCGAGAGGCTCTTGAGGCAATTCTTGCCCATGATGCCAACATGGCTTCCTGGGCTGGAGTGATCACTTCAACTATATTTATCTCTGGTTCTCTCTCACTCGCACTCATGCTATGACTTTTCTGAATATTTCCTCTCTTGGTCTTCTCTTTGTTTTTCCTTGGTGATAACCGCAATCTGGCCTCCCGGGGTGTTTCAGGAATATCCTGCAAATGAGAGAATAGTTTTTGAATGCTTTTGTCAATTTGATCACTCTTTATACACTGACCCATATGTGTTAGTATGGACAGGGCATAGGAATGTTAGTTTCCTAAGAGCAGTGGCTTGTAACTGGGAGAAATGTTTGTGAAACTGGAGAAGGGCATAGAAGTTCTAATTTCTACTGACATCTGGAAGGTAAGTTATTTGACATCCTAAGATATAGCAGCTGACCCCTGAACAAAGAAAAAATTATTCACCCCCAAATGTCAAGTCTTATTTAAGAAACTTACAAGTACAGCATTATTGGAAGACGTGAGAGGTTTAGGGGAGGGATAATTCACAGTCAGAACTCTCTTCATACCATCCCATTTTTCACTCACCTCCTTACTTTCAAAGTAAACATGTTTTTGGAGTCTCTGATAAACCTTTATTTTCTAAGGAAATTAAGAATAGAAATAAAAAATCAGAAGTCAACGAAGTTTCTTTTACTTGCTCCAAAAAGCAGAGATCCCCGTCAACATGCTTACCTGGCCACTAGTACTCAAATGACATTGCTGGCACCAGATCCGCAGAGTATCCCGATGCACTTTATGGATCGGAGGCAAAATGGCAGGCATGGCAGGGACTGCTAAAGCTTAGAATTATTTATTTGAAGAAGATGAACAGAGAAAAGAATGGAATTCAAGTTGTAATTCTATAATATCTGTAAGATTCTTTATAATTGCACAAAGTTCTCACTTATTTTCTCACAACCTATGCACACACACACACACACACACACACACACACATATATAAAATATTTCCCCTCATATTACAAATAAAACAATGGATTCAGGAATTAAAGGAATTTTCCCAAGTTCACCTGACTTTTAAATGACAGATGGGACACAAACCCACTTTTCCGAATTCAAAATTTTTAAAATTAGAATTCCTTTTTTCAGGACCTCCTTGGTAGCACAGGGGGTTTAGTCTGGGTACTATCAAGCTAGCTTCAGCTACTGCAACAAGTTTGATCCCTGGCAGTTTGCTGACCCACATAGCACAGCAGACCTCTCCAGTCTCCCCAGCTGCTCCCCTCAGCAGTATATTTCAGTAGATCTGCCTGTTCTACTCCCCACTCCATCACTAGTGAGTTCTCTCACAGACAACCCCCACCCCCCACCCCACACCTCTGGTCTACATCCCAGTTCTTGTATTCATAAAAAAATAAAATTTTTTTTAAATTATTTTTTATAATGGCAAACAGCTATATACCAGATATGGGGGTAGAGTGGGAAATGGGATCAAAAACAGTGGGGGGAGGGAAATGCACTGGGCTATGGTGATGGCACATGGGTGATTTGGTGATGGAAAACCAAGGGGATTGCAACTGAGATGGGAAAATGCACAAAAATATATAAAAATAAACTATTATAATTTTTAAATTATTTTTAAATCACATAGCACAGTTATGCTTTTGTGGCCATCAACAACTGCATAAAAGATTATGTTGAATTGCTCCTCTAAAACACCAAGATTTTAGATCACAAAATTTAGTAATTTCTACAGAAATCACCACAACCAACATGTCAGCACACCCCATTTTTCTCTTCAGCTCTCACCTCTTTGCTTAGCTCTAACCTGTGAACATCTAGTTTATTGGTAAGTCTTCATATTGGCCCCCCAAAATAAAATCATTCTAAAAATACTTGATGGCTTTATAGGAAGGACAACAGATCCAAAAGGTCATGGCAGTTGGTCAATAATAACTCACCCAACAAAATACTAGATGTTTCTCAAAATTAGTCTTGCAAATAATGTATGTGGAATCTAAAATTTTGTAGAAACAGTGTGATGGCTGATGGGGTGGCAGGGCAGGGGCATGTTGGGGGAGGATATGGAAAGGTGTTGGTCAAAGGTCACACATTTTCTGTTGGAGGAAGAATTTTAAGTTCTAGGAATCTAATATATAGCACGCTGCTTATAAATACTATTATTTACAGTTTTTAGCTTAAAAGTCACTAAGGAAGTTAAATCTCAAATTCTCTTACCCGGGCAGGGGTGGGAGGTTACTGCATGAGGAGATGCATCTGTTAACCTTATTATAAGTAACCATTTTGCAACACCTAGGTATAACAAATCATTACAATGTGCCGCTTAAAATTACAGCGTTATATGGCAATTAGACTTCAATAAACCTGGAGAAAAGTATTCAGTCTTCACAAGACAAAATACTTAAAGTATGTGTTGAAGTATGTGTTAACCTCCTTTAACAGAAAGGGAGGTTGAGCTTGTTGGGTTGGAAATTTGAACTCCTATTAACTCAACTCCACTATTCTATTTTGTGTCTTGAAAGCAATGTATGCTCTATGTTTAGCAATTGAGAATTATAGGAATAAGGAATCTCCTCTACCTGGCATGAGATTCAAATTCAAGGTGAGATGTCAACTCAGAAAATAGGGAGGAAAATATTCTTTCCTGGGCTTCCCCAGAGTTGGACTGGCAAAATAAATGAACAATCCCTCTCCTCATACCTTTGCTTGTCCGAGGCTTGACATCTGTGGTTGAAGAAACACTTGGCTCCACTTGATGTTCTACAGTAATTTCCTTCACGGGCTCCAGTGTGAGAATCACACTCTCCTCATCTAGTTCTTCCTCCAAAAAATTCTGGAAAGGGAGTGTCAATCACTGATTCTCATTCATCAACAAACCACTGACTTGCTCACAAGTGGGTGATTAAAAAAAATAGAAGAGCAGGGCTTGGATTTGGGGAGCCATTCCCTCATGTTCCTCCTTCTCCACCAGCTAAAAAGCAAAATGCTTTCATTTTACCTCCTAAATCTGTATGGATTGTATTGCTGCCTTCAGGTGTCCATCCATTACCCAGTTCAAGCTCTCATCAGCTAACTCACTGGCTAATATAGTAAACTGTTTCCTCAAAAAACCTATTTTGACCATGTTGCAGGCAGATTGTTCTCGTTTGCTTGTTTAAACACCAGCCTTTCATCATTGTTATTCAAATTAGAGATAAAATTCTGAGTAACCTTTATCTTGCTGAAGGAGCCCTGCCTGCCTCTCCAGCTCAAGATTCCTGCTCTAAGATCTAACAATGCAGGTCTGCTATCAGCCCCAAGACTTGAAGTAGTAAAGTGTTCCTCTCCATTACAATCACAGTAACACCAGTGCCCAGTATGGAGTTAGTAGTCAATGCTTTTTTAATGATCTAGTGACTGAAAAGTTAAGTGGATCAGTAGGAAGAAGTTAACATTTACTAATTTTTGTACAAAACACTTGCAGGCTGTACTAGCTACCTTGGGTAGTTCCCATTTAATCCTTTTAGCATACTTGTGGTAATTTATTAGCTTTCATATTTTACAAAATAAGAAAATTAGTTTCAGGAATTAAATGATCAATGGCAATGTAGCTATACAGCACCATGTCCTCAAGTAAATTTCTCCTGTCAGCTTTTCCTCTCAAACTTTTAGGGTGAATAAACCCATTCCCGCCCCATAGTAATAGTCTTTCAAGATTAGAAGTAGCCAAGCCCTCCCCCCTAATTTAAATCCTTTCATTGACTTCCCTTGCTCACAAACTCTTTTACCTTGTATATAAGGATTTTGCATTTGTATACCACCTTTTCCAAAGTTCTGCCACACACATTCACTGGTCAGTTTCAAAGAGAAAAGCATTTCCTTCAAGGGGAGGGAATTTTATTCTATCGTGGCCATAAACCCAGCTCAAAACAGCTGTATGACTTACCCATAATCATATTCATAATATTGACCAATTCGGGTCTCTAGCCCTGCTATAACAGCCCCTGTAAATACCTATGAGAATTTATCAATTTACTTTTTTCACAGTCCAGGACTAACCAAACCTAATCAGAAATCCATTTGATACCAAGCCTTTGGGAATAGGTTATTTCTTACTAAAGAAATAAATTGATGGTTTCCTTTCTAACCTAGCTTTTCTACTTTTCTTTAAACCTGAATAACTCGACTGTTTTTATGTTGCATGTCTTGTCTTTCTACCAAAAGAAAAAATTTCCTAGTGCATTGAACTAGGACCTGAAATCTTTCCTTCTCTGTTATATTCTTACCCAAGTATGTACAGAAACACAATCACCTGAAGGAAAAATAGTAATTTATCTGCAAAGAGAAGACAATTCCAAAGATAGAATCAAGAAATTAAGATTCATGGCAAAGGGAAACAAGAAAAGTGAATCTGAGAAAATAATTCTATTCAAATAAACTTACCTTCTCCATGCTTTTGTAATTTGAACATGCCATCTTCAGGAACACTCAAGAGAAAGGCAAAGCCTATGACCTTTAGGATATCTGCCGTTTACTCTTTTTACCCAGAGAGATCAAGCCTGATTTCTCCTTTTATAAGCAAATGCCTCTTTCTACTTCCTGTTTCCCAGAGGACCTGTTTTCCTCCCTCCTCTTTTCCCCTCCCTTACCTGTCAGGGTGATAATTTTATCAGTTTTATGTTCTGTCTAGTCCATTAAATGAGAATTTAATACTTGAATTATCACTTCTAATTGTTCGATTTTGTTTTTATTTTTCTATGTAATTTATTGTGAGATGGTCACGGTCATATAAAATAGAAATTTGCATTATTTGCTTTATGTCTTCCTGATCAATTCTCCATTTTCCCTTTAAAATGTTGCATGCAACACTCGACACAATGAAGAATTTTTCAACACAACAACATAAAGACTTGAGGATTAATTGGCAGCTATTTCTTTATATGCAATTATTCGCTTAGCAGGTTTGTTTTTTTTTCCCACAGACATCCTCTTTGACAAGTTTTTTGAAAATTTACCACTGCGACCTCCATAGTTTCAAAACTCATAGGCTCTGTCACATTTCCTAGTGCCTGGTGACAGGCTACAGGCACCACTGCCCAGTTCACAAAGCCAAGGGTGAAGAATCTTTCCTCCTTTGTGGCATCTCTGTAAAACCTAATACTTCTTTTTTAAAGATTTTTTTTTTTATTTATGTATACAAGAGCTAGGATACAGGCCAGAGATACAGGGTGTGTGTGTGGTGGTGGGGAGTGGTGAGAGGACTCATCAGAGACAGAGTGGGGAGTAGAATAGATGCACTGACTGAAATATACTGCTGAAGGAAGCATACACTGCTGAAGGAAGCAGAGGAAAGTCAGGAGAGGTCTGCTGCACCACGTGGTCAGCTCCCTGGCCAGGTACCAAGCTTGTGCTGCAGTGGCTGCTGATAGCTTCATAGTGCAAAGAAGTTGATAGTTTCATAGCCCCACCAGGGAGGCCCACTTTTTTTTCTTAAGAAAGATAATTTTCTTCATATCTTTATGATAAAACTGGAAATGACAAGTTAGTATTGAGTAAACAATATTACTAAATAATTCTTGAACAATATTGGTGCTGGCTTAAATGTTATGGATAGAATCAAAAGAGATCAAAGGTATTTTATCATGTTTTATGCCAGGGTTGTATCAGTTACTGTTAAATTAGATTTATGGGTAGGGGTTGAATAATGCATTTCTCCTGGATCTAGCTCTAAACACAAATGTTAAGTCTGTAATAGAAGGGAAGGAATGGCCACTAGAACAGGAGGAGCAAGACTAATTAGACTAATGAACACAGAAGGAACTGCAAGCACCTGGGGATTGCTGGAGCATAACGGGAGTCAAATGTGACCAGTGATGAAGTTAGAAGAAGTCATAGGTGTTTTCCTAGCTCACTCCAAGGACTCAGATGTTCTGAAGGAAAATGTCACAAAGAAACTATATGGCAGTCCTGCCATCCAGTGCTAACCGTGGGCTTTCTCTGCCCTCAGAAAATGAACTGGGTCCATCAGCTTCAAGATTCAAGGATGCTAGGGCAGATTAATTAGTAATATTATACACTAAAAGTCTGTTTGGCAAGATCTCAGCTTCAGTTTACTGACGAGCTGGTCAGAAAATAAATTGAGGCTCTACCTCAGAGCTCTAGAATCAGATGTCAGGGGCTAGGAATCTTACTTCTCAAGCCCTCAGAGTAATCTTCAACATCTGAGTATAAAAGGGTGGGCTAAATCCAGATTCAACCAAATGGCTCAGATAGGGTTGGGATTCTAGCCCCTCCCTTCCAGGAGGAGATTCTGCTCCCGGAAATCCAGTCAAGAATGTTTCCAGCCTGAGGAGATCAGCCAAAAAAGCACTCCATCTTACTGGGTGTGGACCTAACTAATTAGCTTTCTTTGGATCTCCAGAGCCCTCTTTGGAAATTTCCTCCAGGTAGGTGCCTGACCTCACACAACAAATCTGTCCCTGCAGGTCCACTTTATCAGCCTTTTTATTCCCCTCTCTACTTTCTGTCAAGGCAGCAGGCGCTTCCTTACTTTGCTCGATGCTGTATGTTGCTTCCCCCAAGCCTCTAACAATCATGCTAGAAGTGAAATTTTGTTATCTACTGGGATCCTTGCGAGGTTAAATCTTGTGTAAGAAGACAATGCCCAAGACAATGAGGTCTTGCTTTTCCAGCGTGGTATTCCTGCCCTTTTGATCCAGTGCTCTCAAAATCTAATCAAAGGATTACTCCCCTAACTCCTGCCAGTACATGCTAGATAATGTCTGCACTTCTTTGGGCTCTTTGGTGTATATTCAATTTCCTCGCTTGCCAAGTATTAATTCCCCAGCTGGTTTATGCTGCAATTTAAGTTATTGACCTAACAGTTGGAAAGAAGTTGAGGGCATTTTTGAGGGGGTGTCACCTTTTGTCTGGGAGGTGGGGCTTGTGCAGCAAGCAGCTTTACATACAGATATGGTGCTAGCTCTTACTAAGAAACTACCACTATCTTTTTTTTTTTAATTTTTAATTTTTAAAAAAATCTCTAAGTTCCATCCCCATAAAAATCTCAATGACATTCTTCAAAGAAAAAAAAATCTCTAAGTTCTAAATACCCATAGACACTACAGAGGGCTATCCATTTTCATGTCCTCACTAGATAGTTCAAAGTTCTGAACTTCCCAGCCAGGCTGCTGCCTTAGCATAACGGAAATCTTCGCTAAAAACTAACTCCACAGCTTTAGCTAGTAGAGCTTCTCTTTGCTATTGAGTTGTGTCTATTCTTGTAGCATCAGGAGATATGGGCTCCTCTCATACTAAGTCTATTAATGCTTGTTAGTGGCCCATAGAGTCTCACTATACCATTTGATGCATGTTAATCTAGCTTACCAATAACCAGCCAACTCCACTATCATTGTAGACATTTCTACAAATACCTTTTCCAAATGGCTGGAAGTATATTTATAAGGGGGTCTCCCATTGCTCTGACATTTTCCCAGGTCACAGCCAATAAAATCTTCAGCAATTAAATCTTCAGCATTTTGTGGCAGGAACTATCCATCCCCACATAGCATCCAGAAGGATATACTTTTGTGTTCAACAATGAACCAGTTCCAAAATCTTCTTGTCCTTGATGGTGTTGAAGATTTTAAAAAATACATTATTTTCATAATTTGAAGTAATATTGCATTGTTTCAGGTATGCATCATTAAAATCAGTGTATGGATATATGACAGTAGGTCCAATTCTATCCTTGGCTATATACTTGGTTTCCTTTAACCTAATTTAACCACCTTGCCATGCAGTTCCAGAATCTTATCATCTGACAGCTCTTGGCATCATCTGAATTTTCTCATGGCAGCCGAGAAGCATATACCAAAATGGAATTTGCCATGCATGAGATTCACTCTAGAAAGTAATTGTGAAGAATGAGAATGGAGACTCTCTTATGCTTTCTCTGGCCTTGCTTCATATCCAAATTAGGTAAAACGAGTCAAGCTAAGAGTATGAATTCATATCTTTACTACCTTCCCGACCAGTACCATTTTTTTTTGGTATGTGTTTATAAAGTCTCTCATAAATAACTGCAAAATAAAAGTAAATAGCAATCGTAAAATGACTCATATTCCCATTATTGTTCTGGGCAGCATAAATTTCCAATTTGCTAACCCTCAAATCAATATTCAGACTATGTTGTGGGCACAAACTATATCAAGTGCCTCAAGAGAGCCCACCTACAGGAGACAGATCGGTCAGCCAAGGAAATATTTTGTGTAGGGAAATTTAACAATGAAAAACAGAAGCTAAAAAAGAACTAGTCACAAATAACATTTGTATAACCTATAATTTATAAATTAGATCTATTTTCTCATCAGAGTTACAACCCACAAGACAACTATCATGATCACTGCTTTATAGGTAACACTCAGAATCAAACAGCAATTAAAATAGCACAACTGGTTTCAAATGTAGGTTTTATAATTCTTATTTCTTTCATCTTTACAGATCATTAACGTACATGGCCCAACATTCCTGCTAGCCATCTTTTTTGCTTTTGAGGTCCCTACCCATAGGTTAAATCATGGCATCACATAGTCGTGTTATATTAACCACCAAGATCAAAAAAAGACTTCCAACAACACAGAAATACTCCGTTGACCATTAATTTCATTTTACTTAAAACTCAACTTTATTGTCATCTTTTGTGGAACTCCTAATATATTTCTGCATTCTATCTGTAGGTATTTACTTATAAAGGAACATACTTTAAATGCATTCTTCTTGCAAGCAAAATATGTATTCCCAACACATTAAAACAACAATGAGTATCATTGTGCCAGCAATAGTGTTATTCTTATTACTCATTCTCCCAGGAAATCTAGCAAAAGGTAGAATTTTTGTTGTGAAAGATGTTCTGATTCTAAATTTACATATAACAGTCACCTCAAACTTACTAAGAAAACAAATAATCCAATTAAAAATACTTGAGGGCCCTCCCTCCTGGTGCACCAGGTTAAAGCACAGCACTATGAAGTTCTCCATAGCCATTGAAGCACAAGTTCAATCCCTGGCCAGGGAGCTGGCCCACATGGCGTGGCAGGCCTCTCCTAACCTGCCTGCTATTCCCCAGTTTATTTCAGTTGATCTGCCTATCCTGTTCCCCACTCTATCTTTGGTGAATCTTCTCACCCCCCACACCTCTGGGCTATATCCCAGTTCTGTAAGCATAAACAAATGAATGTTTATAAAAATATAAAAAAACTTGAACAGGTCCAACAAGATATATGAAGGGTAAATTAAAACCATAGTAAGATTCTATGTTAGCAATCTATGGTAGCATTAGAGGTTAAAGTGTAGAACTATGAGACTATTCTTAGCCAGGCCCAGGAAGGTAACCCTCACTCACATGGTGCAGCAGACCACTCCTGTCCCACTCACTGCTCTCCTCAGCAGTGTATTTCAGTGGATCCAGCTGTTCTGTTCCCCACCCTGCCCCTGGTGAATCATCTCACCTGCATACCTC